ATACAGTCTACAATCCTTCTTAAGGAAATGAAGGCAAAATCAGACAGCAAGAGGCCAAGATGTTTTCCCCAGATCTTGGGAATACTTGGGATAGCAAGAACTCTCGTAAGCGATGAAGCAACCTCTTTGCATCCTCAAACCTCCTCCTTAGGGAGAAAAAAACCCTTCCCTAAAACCAGTTTGCAAACCACGTTGGGGCACCACCTGGATTGGCTGGGATTAGAGGGCCGTTCCTAACCACCAGAAAGGAGCCGTCAAAGGTCAGCCTGGAAAAAAACCCGCAATCCGGCCATTGTGTCCAACACTCCGGGCGGGATGTCTGCGGTTCAAAGCTCACCCTCTGCCAACAGCAGCCAATTTACTTAGCATTAAGGCTCTCGATTGCTATGGAAACCCTGTCGAAAACTCCTGAAATTGACCTGGATACACAAGGGGGAAAGTGAAAGCTGCCCAACTCAGTTTAAAAATAAAATGGGGGTGGGGGGAGTCTGCAGAACAGTTGGCATCTCCCCCCACCTTGCAAGGCCAGCCATTAAGGGACCCCGTTCTCTGAAAGGCATCTAGAGCTGCAGAAATATGTTAGAACAAACCAAAGCATCTTCTCTAGAAAGTAATGATACATGTGAAGGGTCCAGAAGCTTCAGCAACTCCCCCAAATGTCACATACAGGTAGTAGTCCTCGTTTAGCAACACAATGGGGACTGGCAACATGGTCATTGAATGAAGCCGTTGCAAAGACTCTGGTCTTTAAGTGAATTGTAAGTGTACCCAACCAGAGGCCGATAAAGCCAGAGCTGCACCGTCTCTGGGATGAACCCAGCTCCTGCGTAGGAAGTCCACCCTGGGCCGGAGGGCCCTTTCCGAGTCCATCACAAAGCCCTGTGTCTTCACGCAGAGCCAGATAATGAGACTGTCCAGATTATGCCACCCTGAGCCCGTCCTGATTAAACCCTCCCACCCCGGAGCCGAAATCTCCCAACACAATGAGCTTAGGACAACGCAACAGCCCTGCTGAGACCTTAATACCCAAGGACAATTGGGATTTCAGAACTTGTAATGGAGACCCATTAGGGCGACTGAAATGTAATAAATGAAGGATGCCGAAGAGGACACTGTGGGTTCCCAAGGTCCAGAAGGAGCAAATGGGGAAGAGGAGGAAGACAACCAGAAAAAGCGACAGGCAGTTCTCTTCATTAAAGACATGTTCCATTCACGTTGAAACATGTAAAACGAATGACCTTGGGAAGTTTGCAAGCAGGGCCTTCCTAGGAAATTCCCAGTCGTCCTAGGGATAAACTTTGTCAGAGGTTACAGGAAGACACAGGGGGATCCAATCTCCTTGGCTCAGTGCTTTTCACCAAGCGAACCGAATAATGGAAAAGGGTCCAAGGGCCAGGTCACCAAGGACGCATGCAGACAGCCAAGGACTGTAGATCTGGTGACGGGAAATGGAAACTCAAAATGAATTGAGGACAGGAAGCAAAGGATGCCAAGGACGCCACAGGGGGCCTTCAGAAGGAAGAGAGCGAAGTAGACCAACCGCTCGATAGAGAAGGCGATCGTGCTAAGGGCTCTCAAGGCAGAGGCGAAAGCACTTCTAAAGCCTTGCTCTGGTTCCATCTTCTCTAGGAAGCCACCATGCATTCCCCCAGGGGACGGCAGAAAGCAGGACGAAGGCAGGGCTGGAATGAAGAGCGAGGCCGGGCGGAAGAGGCTCCGGGGGAATCTCTCTCCAAATTAAGTGAGTTGCCTCTTAGGATCCCGAAGGATCCTATTGCTCTGCTTCGGCCGACCTCATGCTTAGTCACTGAGAATCCTGCAGAACTGGAGAAAGTGCCAAGGGACAGAAGGTGAACGGGGGTGGGGGGGGGGCATGTTTGCAAAAAGAAAAAAAAAAGGAAAGGAAGATCCCTCAAATTAACACACAAATCAGTATTAAAATCTGTAACTTGGAAGATTCTGGAGCAGATCATAAAGCAGTCCATCTGGTGCAATACGGTTCCTAGATATTACCGTGTTTCCCCCAAAATAAGACAGGGTCTTATTTTCTTTTGACCCCCCCTGAAATAAGAGCTTGGCCTTATTTTCAGGGAGGTCTTATTATTTTTGAGGTGCAGGAGGAGGTGGGGAGTGTGGTCACTTCATGGCTGCTGCTGTGTGGCAATATTTTTGGGGAGGGCTTATTTTTGGGAAAACAGGATACTAGCATGGCTCTGTCAAGGACACATCGATCTTTCATCATTTGGAGTGATTTCCAAAGGATCTGAGGAAATTATCCTGTGCTGATTAAAGAGATGAAAGATCCTCCTCTTCCTCCTCGTTTCTTTATCCTTGTTTCTGGCTAAAGAAAAGACGGGTCTCAAGTGCCAGAAGGGCCCCTTCTCCTGGGTGGCTGAAGGAGGCCGCAATTGGAGGGAGCTGTTTCAAGAGGGGGAAGACTGAGACTCAGAATAACTAACTCCACCTTAGTTGTGCCAGGTAGAAGTTGGTCTGGAGACGGTTTCCGTGATTCTGTTCCATCGCCCTACTACCCGCCCAGAACTTTCCAGAAATGCAGCTGGTTCTGGTCTTCTGAGCTCGCCA